ACTTTTGGCAGCAGCTGGCCATTAGTGTAGATGAGATGTAATGTGACACTGCATCTGGCCAAAAATAGAAGGCAGAAGTGATTGACAGTGCATCACTTAGACTAGAAATGTATGAAAAGCAGAGATGATGATCCACAAGCCAGGACAGACTGGGTAGACAGGGTAGGCAAAGCTTCAAAGAAAGGAATAGAGACCCAGAGGCTGTTCTCCTAAAAGCTACCTAAGAAGTCTGAGGCAAAGAATGAACTAGCACCTCTCCAGGAATGGATCTGTTCTCAGGGGTAGCCTGAAATGGCAGATTTTCTGGTTTGGAGTTTATCTTTTTTTGCTTCCATAGACCAGGGTTGTGCTTGACTTCTCTAAGATATTTTTATGCCCCGCAGTGTTTTTTTTGTGTCCACTCTCAACAGGAAGACACTTCATTGTGGTAGGTTCCACTGCAATATATGTTGGAGCATCAGAATTGTTGAAGGTGGAAGGGATGTCTGCAGGTCATTTGACCCATTGCTCAAAGCAGGGTCAGCAGGAGCAGGTTGCCCAGGACCTTGGCCAGTCTGGTTTTGTGTAGCTCCAGTGCAGACACCACAGCCTCTGGGAAATGTGTTCCATGTTTCATCAGTCTTGCAGTGATAAAAAGTTTTTCCATATCTTTCAATGTATTTTGGTTTGTGCCTGTTGACTCTTGTTGCTGGATGCCATTGAGAAGAGACTGAAAGCCTTCTGTAGGCCCTTCCATCACATATCAATGCTGATGGGTCAGGTGGTCCTAAGCCATCCTTTCTCCAGGCTGAACAGCCCAGGCTTGCTCAGCTTCTCCCATGTCAGATGGTCCAGTCCCTCAGTCACCTTTGTGGTCCCTTGCTGGAGGTGCTTCATTCTGTCTGTGTCTCTCTTGAAATTGCAGAGCCCAGCACTGGACAATGTACAGCTTGGTGGGTAAGGATCTGGGAGGTCCTGGTGGGCACCGAGTTGGCCATGAACTGGCTATCTGTCTGTGTCTCTCTTGAAATTGCAGAGCCTAGCACTGGACACTGTACAGCTTGGTGGGTAAGGATCTGGGGGTCCTGGTGGGCACCGAGTTGACCATGAACTGGCTGTGTGCTCCCATGACAAGGAAGTCCCCCAGCCCCCTTGGCTGCTTGGCTGCCTCCAGAGCATGGTCCAGGTCAAGGGAGGTGATCCTGCCCCTCTGATCAGCACTGAGGAGACCCATCTGGAGCATTGGGTCCAGGGCTGGGTTCCCCCAGGGCAGAAGAGACATGGACTGGCTGGAGTGGGGCCAGCAAAAGCTGGAAAGATGCCTGAGAGTCTGGAGCACCTGAGATATGAGGAAGGGCTGGAAGAGCTGGGGCTGCCCAGGAGCAGGTAAAGAGACAATGGGCTCACATGGAAAATCAGGAAATTCCAATTAAATGTAAGAGAAGAACTTTCTTTTAAGTACAATCGGAAACTAGATCAGGTTGTCCAGGTTGGCTGAAGAGTCTCAGTCTCTGGACATAGATAAAACCTGACTGGTTGAGATCCTGAGCAGCCTGTTGTCCTCAGAACTCCTGTCCTCTCTGTGCTGCTGCAAATAAAGCAGACTCAGCTGGTTTTGCTCTTTCACAAGTTCTCTTGTGCTTCGAGTTACAATTATTTTTCTGGCTACATAGTTGTGCCATGGGCCTCTTCTCTCTGACCACCCTGATTCCTTCACTGTTGGGAGGTCCACTCTTTTTCCTTCCTTTCCTTCTGACTTGAGGCCTTTCCCCAGAACTTTCCTTCCCAGGTTGGGCTGGGGCAAAGCAGGTGAATTGGCAAAGCTCCACCTGCCCCAGGGATGGGAATTCTGAGCCAGAATTCCCATTGGATTACCAGTGTAAAGCCGAGACTAGCACTGCTGAGCTATAAATGCACACACTGTTTCCCAGCTGAGCCCACCCTTGAGCTCCCTGTTCCACCACAAACTAACCAGGGAGGTGGGGAGTGGTTATTGGGCCTTGGCAATAGTGTTAGGACTAGGTTAGAGAGAAACTGAGCGAGAGTAACCGCAGGTTGTGTCTTGGAAAGAGGTTCTTTGTGTCAGCAGGATTGTTAGCTTGGGTAGAAGCCTCCCAATAAGGATGTGTTCTAATGGTTGGGCACAAAGAGCAGTTTCAAGATGGCATTTGCAGAATGTATTGTTTACTGAGTAACGTGCTTCATCCCTCAGAATAGATTATCTTCAGGGCTTTCTCAGACATTAAATCCATCTCTCTGTTCCTATGAGGCCAGAGTAATTTCTGGAATAATCTTCCATCATAAATCACGGGGATACTTTTTCCCTTCTTTGCCAGCCCTGGTGCTGCTTTCCTCTCTCCATGGCAGCCCAGCTCAGTTCAAGTGCCTTGCTTTTGGTGCAAGCAGCTGGTGTTGTGAGGATGAGGAATGATGTGAAGGCTGCAGGGTGCAGTGGTGCTGCCGTACCTCAGGGCACACTGATCCCCCTGGGTAGGTCAAGACTTCCTTAAAAGGTTCTCCAGGTTGCAGCCTGGAGAAGGAAAGGCTCCAGGGACACCTTAGAGCACCTTCCAGTGCCTGACGGGGCTCCAGGAAAGCTGGGGAGGGACTTGGGACAAGGGAAGGGAGAGGTGGGATGAGGGGGAAGGGCTTCCAGCTGGAAGAGGGGAGATGGAGATGAGATGTGAGGGAGAAATTCTGTGCTGTGAGGGTATTATGCATTGCCCAATTTTGCAAGTTTATCGGACAAATAGAACATCCCAAACAGAGGTGAGTAGTTGCTGGCTGATTTTGATATTCAACTTTAGCTCAGCATGTGCTAGTAACACTGGACACTGGAACTTTTTAAGGATAATCTTTGCAAAGAAAGATTTCTTAACTGTGGTCATTAGCAACACTTGCTGTGGCATTGTGCAATGTTTTGCAAAAATGGTTTGGTGCTTACCCTCTTCACAGCAGTTTCAGTCTCTTTAATTGTGCAGGCATGGTTTCTCTTGGCTTTTTGGTGCACCTACTGCCTTTGAAAGCCTAGGCTGCCCAACAAGCTGTTTCTTGCAGGTCAGCAGTGATCCTGCACACAAACTGAAACGTACTTGGATGTTAGTAAGTGTGAGAGAAATAGGCAGTGGTGTCTCCACCTGAAGACAGTGGATATATATTTTGTATTTTCTTTAGGCTGTACAATGTGAGGAGAGAAAAAACTTCCTGTCTATTTTATCTTCTAACCACCCTTCAGGCAAATATGAAATGTTCCAGGTGTGTTTAGGCCTTTCTATACTCCTTTCTGCTTGACATGGGCAAATATATTTTGAGTTTTCATTAGTACATTGCAGACTCTCTGCAAATGTAGGCACACACGTTAGTGAATTTTCACAGGATGGTTGGGGTTGGAAGGGACCTCTGGGGATCATAGAGTCCAGCCCTCCTGCCAGAGCAGGGTCATTTTGGTCATTGATACCTGAAAAGGTGTATTTCTGCTCATTTGGAAGAGATTATAATATTAAAGGACTTTGTAATTACACAGAAATGTTTACACTTTAGTTTTTGCTTTGCTGCAAAGCTAGGCCAGGGGGAAGAGGTTTGTGTGGGTGACTTGGCCTTATGAGATGAAATCAAGGAGGAGGAAAATGCTTTAGAAAATCTTGGAGCAATAGTACAATTTTTTACTTGAGTTTACATTTACCAGTTTCTAACAGAATATCTTGTTTCGATTTTGCACGTAACTCTCTGTGTACAGATTTTGCAGTTCTAGTAGGAGTACAGTCTAGAGACACTGTTGCAATATACACAAGTATCTATCATGAATGTACAAATTGAAGTTTTCCAAATTATTTCTGGGCCCAATGCAGGCAGTTAGATAATTAACAACATCCATGACACCAAATCAGATCCCAGTTTCCAGAAGGTGGCAGGGAAGGGGATACTGCAGCTCCCTGAGGTAAAAAGTCAGTCTTCCTAACTTTGAAAAAACCCCACTTCATTAAGTCTGTTCCTGAAAATAATTGAAAACATTTGCTTGAATTTTCAAAACAAATGAGGTTTGCATGTCTAACATGCAAATTTCATCCCAGGAGGTTAAAGATTGACAAAGTTATAAGCAAGGGAAAGCAGAATTTTATGAAAGAAAATATTCATTTTGGTTATAAATGTAAAGTTACCAAATATAGGAGGCCAAAGGCTGGTTCTTACATAAAGGTTGTTATGGAATTTAATTTTTTGTTCTGTATTTCAAAAAATGTATTTGTTTTGTAGTCTATGTTAGTATTAATTTGTTTTATAACCCTTCCTGGGGAGAAAGTCTGGCTTGCAGTCATTCTTGTTGGTTTTGTTGGTTTTTTTTCCTCACAGCTGGATTAGAGATTAAGATTAGATGGGTTTTTTTCTTTTGTTCTATGAGGAATTCTCATTGTGGTTTGTGATTATATATTTTTTTAAGTACCTTAACTTAAATAGAACAGGAGATCTGTGTATTTCCCAGCATGCAGTTTCAAAGAATAATTTCTCTTAGGCTGCAGTTCCACTGTCCATGTAATCTGGTGTATTCCTCGGTTGTAGGAAAGGGGATTTAGTGCCTGGAGTTAGATCAGAGCTGGATCTGCACAAAACCCAACCCATCACTGCGGGGAGTTCCCAGTTTTGTGTCAGCAGAGAGAAGGAACTGGGAAGGAGCAGGTGGAGATGGAGGGAAGGCAGCATTGCCCCATCTGGCAGTCACACTGGTTTGTGCCCTACTGAGCTGGGTGTGGAATTGATGCTATTTCAGAATGAATTATTTTGCTTTGTTTTATACTTTCATAACCTCAATTGTTACATCACCATGGGCATTATTCTTCCCATTATTCTTTCTGAAATAGTGCAGTAATATTGATACATAAAGGGGAAAATGAATTTACCTGAAGTTGTTTGTGGTGCTTTATTTGTAAATACATTATTTGCGGTGACTTGCTTTGTGTCAGATGAATGATTGAATTGAGTTTCTACAGGTTCAACACAGCAAAAATAATTTCCTGTGTTTTCTTTTTTAGCCTTCTGTTGAATCTTCAAGCCCAGGTAAATATTTTTAATATTTCCTAAACTTGTGAGGGAAGAGGGCACCCTTGAAAAATGAGTTTTGCTGGTCTTTTGCAGTCAGTAATCTAAGGATAGAATTTGATGAAGAGGTTGGTGGCAGTGCTGTTTCAGCAGTCACTGCTTTCTTCCAGTCTGCACCAGCATGAGTTTCTAACTGGTAAAAATACACTGGGGGAATGTGTTTTTTGTCTCTGCAAAAGCACGTGTTTGGGAATGGTGAGGTGGGAGGGAAGGAGCAGGATGGGAGCAGATGCTGGGCCTGGGAGAGGCACTTCCCCCATGGGTGCTGCCCCTGGGGGCAGACAGAGCCCAAAGCTGAGGCCCCGTGTGCTCCCAGTAGGTGCACCATTGCTGGGGATGTGTAACAGATCGAGAACAAAAAGCAGCAAGGAAAGAAAAGCAGTGGGTTTTATGTCATGGGATTACCAAGCATGAGGGTTCCATGAGGGCTGTTTTAAAGCTGGTTATTTTCTGGTATCCCAGTATCCCTGAGACACTGGCTGTCTAGTAGTCAGCCCAAGTGTAAATTGTTAATATCTGGGGGGGAGTTGTTCACTTTTGTACCACTGTACTTAGTGTTATTTATTTATTTTTTGCATCCTACCAGTGGAAGAGCTCACCAGTGGTTGCTTTAGCTGGATTGCCCTTGTCTCTTGAGCTCTTCCTCCTTTCAGAGAAACAACCCATTGCTTCAACACTTCCAAGTGTAGTTAACCCTTGTAGTCACCCCTTTCCTCTTGCACCCTTAGTGTGGGTACACTCTTCAAGCTTTGGAAAATGAAATTTAAGCTATTCATAGAGACAAGTGGGAAAATATTAGCAGAGTTTGATTTAGAAATCAGGTATTGCCAAATTACATAAAAATTCTGCATCTGCCCAACCATTCATCCATTCATTTATTTTTCATTGCCATAAAATATAAGCAGCCTCCTTTAGAAGAGCTGTGAAAAAAACTGCACGGGGGAAAATAACTGAGGATTCTGAATCATGAATAAAATCTGCATAACTCTAAAGCTTACTTCAAGTTTAAATATTGGAGAAGTCATTAGCCTGTCTTTGTAGTTGTAAACAAGAGAACTTGCAAAGCGTCAAGGAAACAACTGCCTTGAGTTTATATTTTGTGAGTATTTCTGCTCCCAGCAGAACTCTTGATCCAGACAGGCTTATGATTATTTAGGAATGAAGTCTTCAAAAGCTGAACATCTTACAAACATTTAACTAGGGGCCTGATGTCCAGATATAAAGTACTCTGAGAACTGGCTGGTTAAACAGTATCTCCTGGTTCTTTTTTCCATGATCTGTTCCCACCCAAAGGACAGCTTTCTCTCCCCTCTGAATAACCAGATTGGCTTTCCCTAAGATAAATGGTTGAGGGATTTTGAAGATACTTTAATTTCCAAGTCTAATTTGAGTATTAAAATGTCACCAAAAAAAAAACCAAACAAAAAACCTAAACACTGCAAGGCCATGATCTAACTAAAAACATTCTTTAAAATGTTTTCTATCAGGAGGTTCAGCAACATCTGATGACCATGAATTTGATCCATCAGCTGATATGCTGGTGCATGACTTTGATGATGAACGGACATTAGAAGAGGAGGAAATGATGGAAGGAGAAACAAACTTCAGTTCTGAAATAGAGGATCTTAACAGGGTAGGTAGCCTTAAGTAGTCCTAAAACATAACCACATCCCACAGGCTCACACAAAACATATGCAGATTTTTTCCCCTACATTTGGAATTTAAAAAAACCCCAACAAACACCCCTAAAACACTAGTAGGTAAATAATATAATGGGGGAAAGGGGCTGAGCTAAATTTGCAGTTCTTAAAAGCTGGGAAAAAAAAGATGGAACATAAATTCATCATAATGTGTAACACTGCTGGTTTAGTTTCATTTTTGCATAGATGTGCTGCTGTAGGATTTGCATTCTAGAGCTAACATAAGCTGAAGTACTCTCTGACTAAACATGTATATTCCAATGTTACTATTTTCTCAGGCATTTGCACTTTATTAGTGCATATGGATTTTGATTTTTTTTTTTTTTAAATCCCACCATTTTACAGTTCTTCTGCATTTTTATAGAAACATTTGTAGAATGCTTTGGTGGAGCATATAGGAGTATCCTCCTTTTTAAGGTCAAAGAAATGGAGATGCAGATGAAATGATTGGCTCAAAGCAAAGAGCTCTCAGCAGCACTGGGATCAGAGCTCACAGTTATTGTTAAGAGTGATAAATAAACATTAACATGTGTATCTTCTGAAATAGTTGCAGAGAAGATTTATTTGGCATTTTGAGCTTACCCTGTCAATTATGTATTGTCTTAAATTACTTCTCAGGCAGGAAGAATATTCTTAAATTACAAGCTAGGTTCATTATAGATGCAAAGTGATTTAGATACTGTCTGTGGCCCCACTGGCTGAAAACAGATCATTAATGAGTCTCAGGTGCATATTTGATGTACAAATCCTATTTTGTATAAGTGATTATGCCAATATAACTTTAAATTAGTTTAGTGCATTTAAACTACATTTTGGGTGTAAATGGTAATCTATTTCTGGTAATTTCACATTTGATATTAAATGGGAAACATAAAGATAAGTAAATAGTTTGTGAATCTCAATCTGCTTCATCTAATTGAAATGAGTAGTGGAGCTCCACATGTATGTCATGTGGCTTTTAAGTTGAAAACACCTTTTCCCCTCCCTCATATTTTGTCAACATCTGGCTGTGTAATCCTGTCACCCCATTACAATGCTTTGTTTATAACTGTATTTCAGCCATCACGTTATTCCCTCATATCTTGGTTGCTGGGGCTGTGAGTTTGGAGTTCTCCATGTGTCAGCTCTTCTGTGGTCAGAGGGTGAGCAAGGGTGTAACTGAGACTGGCAGCTTAGGCTGGGGCCTACAGGAAAGCTGGGGAGGGACTTCTGACAAGGGCTTGGAGGGACAGGACAAGGGGTGATGGTTTCAAACTGGAGGAGGGGAGGTTTAGGTGAGACATGAGGAGGAAATTCTGTGCTGTGAGGGGGGTGAGAGCCTGGCCCAGGTTGCCCAGGGAAGCTGTGGCTGCCCCATCCCTGGCAGTGTTGAAGGGCAGGTTGGATGGGGCTTGGAGCAACCTGGGCTGGTGGGAGGTGTCCCTGCCCATGCAGGGGGTTGGGACTAGATGAGTTTTAAGGTCCCTTCACACCCAAACCAGTCTGGGACTGTGGGATACGATTCCATGACCCTGCTCTCTGCGCTGCCCGCGCTGCAGGGTCTCTTCCCGGCCAAAGAGCCTTGTGCTCCAGGTGCCCCTTTTTTCCAGGTAGGACGTTTCCTGCTGGAGACTTGTGGCTGCTTATCTTGGTGGGATAGTAGCCTGCAGATCAAGGCTTACCTTTAGCTCTTTTGTTTTTTCAGCCATGGGTGAAAGGCAATCTCAGTCTCTAAGCTGTTGTCAAGACAAGTGCTGCCCTGTCCTTTTCTTCCTCCTGACATTTACAGGTGTTATTTCAGACTTCCCCCAGGCTACCATTGTGCCTGATGTTCAACTCCTCCAGGGGGGAGCAAGGTGGCAGTCAGGTTTTGCAAAAGCCTTAATGGTTTCACTCCTGTCTGTCAAGGAAGTTGCACCTTCCTTTGAGGATGAGGATCTTCTCTACTCATTGCTTGAAACCCTGGTGAGTCTGTAAGGCTTTAGTTAGCATCTGAGGCTGAGCAGCATCCTCTCTTTCTCTGGGCAGGTATGTGGGTACAGTTTGGTCCAAATGGCAGCAGCATATCCAAGGGCAGTCACTCACTTTTCTGCTCTGGTCCAGAAAAAATACAGTTCCCTGAGAGCAGAGCAGCACCTAAAGGGACTCAGAAGTGTCTGGTGCTTCTCAGCGATCCTTCTTGACAGGTTAGAGATTCTCTTGGGCAGGAAAGCTCTCTGCAAGGAGATGCATCAGACTGTCCCTGATCAGATACAGACATGTATTCACTAATAGTGCTCTCGTGCCCTACCAGCTCTACCCAAGTTCTGGCTAACCAGTATTCCCTCCCCAGCAGCCTGAGAGGCAGCATTCCCGAGGTGTGCCTGGGCTGAGGCACGTCCCGCCGCTCTGGGCACACGCCGGTGCTGCAGTTTGCCAAGCCCCAGGAAACTTGGCAGCATCATGTTGGTAGTAGGAAACTCCTTTCACACTCTGTCTTGGCAATAAAAAATGACTAGGCCCCAATGAGCTGCAGAAAACTCCTGCTCTGGGCTAAGCTGACTGCACAAAGATCAGCTGGGGAGAGCGGGACATGGAGGGTGCCACCAGTGGGAGGCCAAGTTCTTCAGCTTGGTGCTGCCCTGCTTGTGGGCAGAGCACTGCAGGGTGCTGAGTGCTGGCTGCCTGGGCGCCCTAGGAAGGGGTGAGCATTGCCAGGGGGCTCTGGGAGCTGCCTTCCTGCACCACCTACAGATTCTTTTTCCCCCCTTTCTGTTTTTGTTTGTTTTTCCATAGAATCACTTGGTTTCTCCTTTTGGGGGTCTCTGTTACAGGGAGGGCTCCTGGGTTTTTTTAGGGTTGTGCACCACAGAATCATTCTGGGTGGAAAAGACCTTTAAGATCATTGAGTCCAACCTAACTACTAACCATTAACCTAACTCTACCAAGTCCACCAGCATGCTCTTGTCTATAACTGAGATCACCATAGCTGGAAGCATACAGGGTTCCTCCCAGATCCTCTCCCAGCCTCTAGCAGCATGTGGTTCAGGCACCTATGAAAAAGATGTCTGTTCTTGTCTGTGATGCCTGTCAGTCTTATTTTTTCCTCCTGCTGTGAATTTGTGCATTTTATTTTTAACCTCCCTAAACTTAGTGTGCATGAGGCACGTGGCAACGTTGCACAGTTCATTTAAGTGTGAGAAACATGTTTGGTTTTCCAGACCTATTCTGTGTTCATTTCAGTGGTTGCTCCTGAGCTCTTCAAGAGTGCCCAGTCATTTCTATTTACCTTCTCTGTGCTGCTGCTGTTGCAGTTCTCTGTTACATCACCCCCCCTCATTTACCTCTACTCCAGACACGAGGTATAATTGATTTCTTGTTATTAAACATCCTCCACATATGAGATTTCTGTGTCTTTGATAAGACTTGTTACTTTTTAAATGCTTTCTCTGTTTGCAATATCCTGAAACAACACATGGTTTGTATTTCACCTTGGAGAGCTGCTGACCCTTGGGGCTTTTGGAGTGGCAATGGACTATTTGAAGTTAAAAGGCTCTACCTAAGGAAAGTGTTGTAAATATAATAGCACTTTCCTAGGTAACATATAATAACATGCCTGTTACATTGTTCACACGTATCTATGAATTGTTGTGAAAGTTCTTTTTTCAATTCTCAGTCTGTATCTACCAGTGGGATTGTGGTCAGGAGTGCTTCATGTTACCTGGCAAAACGTACAGGAGAAATTGGTTTGATAATTATGAATAGGATATTTTTATAGCTGTGCTGTCAAGTTTTAATTAAGATCACAGTCCTGTCATGTTGTCTGTGTCAGTAAAATACTCCCACTTCTAGGAATTCTTTCCATAAAGTGATACAATAGAGACCAAGAAGTCAAGAGGGAAGGTGAAGACATTTGATCCACGTGGTCTGCATCTACTGTGTATATAGCTGACCCAAAGAACAGACCAGTAAGTGGTAGAATGGCTTAGTTCTTTGAAGAAAAAGAAAATAAAATGCACAGTCAACAAGAAATTTGCAGTCCTGGCAAATAATGGTCTTTATTATTCAAGTGAATACAAGTGATAACCATTTAGGAGCCACTCAATTTGAGAACCATCTGTATCGTTTCAAGTGTCCCTTTGGAGGGACCAGCATTCCAAAGATACAGATTTTTAAATGTGTCCATATTTTTAGTGGGTTTGCTCCTGACTATGGGTGGTTTTGTAGTCAACTACCTTAAAATGTGTACGAACCTGTAAATGTTACCATCACCTTTGCTGGTTACCAGGTGATCCCTCACCCCCATCCAACTACTCACTTCCAGCTTTCCCCAGAAAGGGGAGAGGGACGGAGAGACAGAGAGGGGCATTTTTGGTGTCATTCTGTATTCACAGCCAGGTTTGCAGAGCTATGTCATAGTATTTCTGTGGTGCAGGTCCCCAAATGCAGATGAAACTCCCTGTTCAAGCCAGGTACTGCCAATTCTGGTCCTTAGTTTTTGGAGGCTTTGCAAAAATCCCTGCCTTGCACTAGGACAAGTTGCTGCCTGCAAACACTGGCAGTGCCCTGGCTGGCTGTACACAGCAGTTGCTGCTGACATTCTTTTTATCTGTTCTTTTTTCCACAATTATGTACAAAATACTCCAATTTCTCAGGTAGTTTCTGGGCAGTGAAGAGAATACCAGTATATATTCCAGTCAGGAGTGTGTAGTGGAGGGGTAGGATGTAGCCAGACGAGACGTGCCCTGTTGCTGTGCTAGTGTTTTGTTAAAGCAGGAGACAGATACCAAGAGAGGGATGGGGCACATAGCCCTTTGGTGCCTTTTAATGAGCTTTATGGCCCCTTTGAGGGCTGGTATGTGAAGTCTCCTTAATTTATGAAGGATTAGGAAATAGTTCAGCTACATAAAGCCCCACATTTTTCTTAGGAGCCCAAGCTTCTGGGTTTGACTGTCCGTTCACTGTGGCGTGGCCGTTCTTGGCATACCTGATCATCACCCAGCTGGTTTTGCCCTCAAGTTTTAAATGCACACCTTGAAGCTGTAGAGCAGGGGATGTGAAATATTTTAGTTAAAAACCCCAAATTTTGTTTGGCTGTTTATCAGGAGAGTGACATGCCCATCCAGGAGCTGCTTAGCCGTTACGGCTACGATGGTACCATTCCACTCCAAGAAGATGATGATGATGAAGATGATGACGAGGAGGAGGAGGAGGGAGAAGATGATGATGATGTTGATAATGATGACAACAGTGGCTGTAGTGGTGAAAACAAAGTAAGTGTGGGCAGTAATTTGAAACTGATTTTCATACAACCATTCTGTAGTTAACAACCACTCTTGAGTGCCAGATCACAGCAGCAGTAATTCATGATATGGTTGTTTTCAGACACTCTGTTTATTCTTAATTACCCATCTGTGTTTCTCTTCATTGCTCTCAATGTTACCTGTATCATTCCAAACTGTTGCCACAGCAAATTAGGTATATACATGCCTACAGCTTCATGTAAGCAGGGATTGTAATTGTCCTGCAGAAATAGTCTGGCTTCCAAACTGAAGTGTTAAGTGCCTGGAGGTACCTTTGTAGATACAGCTGAATACTTGTCTCAAGATGGGAAGCTGATCTACTGGAATTGAACAGTGAAGTGTGGAATTGAATTAAATGTGTCTCTGAGTCTTAGAAATGGCTGCAAGTTTTCTAGGTTTAGCATTTTAAATGGTATTTTTTCAGCCTGGCAGACCTGGTTGTTTTTAATTGATAACTGAATTTGATGCATCAAATCACTTTGCAAAATGTATTTGCAAACTTAGCATCTTTAAAATCCTGTTCTCTGTGCTCTTAAACTGAATTTTCTGATATTAGAAGAGTCTTTTCTATTTGTGTATGTCATATTTATTTGTAACAGTCTTCTGCCATGGGCACAGCTGTAACTTTTCCATTACTGGTGGCATTCAGAATTGCATCCTGAATTCCATTAAAATATGAAACCCTTTGTGCTGTCAGTAACAAAAAAAAGCTTAGGCATTAATGGAAGTTGCATTACCTAATCTGGCTTTAAAAAGGGTACATTTTGTTCTTTGATATCTTACCCATTTTAGAATCTCTGGAATGTGACACAAAGATGAGGAATGATGTATCTGATTCAGAAAATGAAGTCGTCAGGATTTACAGGCTGCCTTGCTGCATGAGATTACTTTTTGTGGGGGTTGCAACATTCAGAAAGATACATCCAGCAAGGTTCAAGAAGCTGGGGAGAAACTTACATAACATGCAGTATGCAAAATCAAAATCAGACACAGAGGGGGTTTATTGTGTTGTGCTTCATGGTGGTGGTGCTGAACTCTCTTCTCATGTCCTTGCTTCTTAATTGCCTCCTGACTCAACTTCCGTCTGCTGTGCTCTCCTCGGTCGGTCTCCAGCTTTGTGACCAGCTGATTTAAGACACTGCCTGTCTTTTCTCTTACCTGGGTAAAATCTCAGTGTCTGTCACTGCTGCCAGCAGCACGAGGAGGCACCTCTGTCCCTCTGTGGGACACTCCCCTTTAGTGGCACTGCAGGAGCAGGGAGTTTGTAAATCCTGGGAACGTTGCTTTTGGAATTGCATGGTCTGGCACTGAAAACAGAGCCCAGGGTTTAGCTCCTTGCAGACCTGGTGCTGTGGCTGAGCTGGAAATGTGTGTTCCCCTCTTCCACCCCAGTTTTGCTAGGGCAAAGGTGGTGGGGAGGTGGACACAGAAGGAGCTAACAAACCTCTTAAAATATTTTGCCTCGGGATACAAGAACGAGAGCTCTGAAATGTTTGCATGCTCTTAGCAGAGAGGCAGTAAAATACATCTGTGGGGGTGGAATAATTTTATAGATCATTCAGGCTTTCTCTGCAAGTGCTCAGCTTTCTACAGCTTATTTAGCTATACTGCACTTAGCTATTTTCTATTTTTAATCTGCTTTAAGCTGCACATGTGATAATACTCTGGTTGCTGGTAAAGGTACACACAAACGTGCTGTGCCTGGTGCTGCTGTGTTAGAACTAGCAAGTAAGAGTGCTTAGAACCTAGTCATAAAACACATACAATATGTTGAAAGCATACACTGAAAGGAAAAAAAAAATTCTATTGTTTACCTTTATCATTTTAGTTTTCCTTAATTGTAATAATTCCCATCTTGTGTTTTGTCTTCTAATAAAGAAACTTGTTCTAATTTTTGTTCATCTTTTAATGACTCGATGCACATACTCAAGTCTGCTGGGGCTGAAGCACATTATTGACATGAATTTTTATGGAAGGTACCATTTCCATTTGATTGAGAAGAATATAGCCAGTAAATAATTCCTCTCCTTTTTATTGAAAATTCATAAGGAAGGGTTTTAAAGTTAAATGAAAATGAAATTAAAACCACAAGGATTTGCTTGGCCGATTTGAAAAGCTAGGCAAGATATTTAATTGTGGTTCATTTTCTAATTTTCTACAGTCTGAGTGTTAAATTGATCTGCTTAAAATCCTGGTCAAGAGATAAGCATGATGTGTTGACACATTTGTTGTGGCTGAGTCCAGAGAGGCCTCAATCTAAATAATCACTTCAACTCAGGTTTGATACTGACAGTTTTGGAAAACAAAATGCCAAAATAGTGTTTGTCACATGCCCAGGATAGCTGATCTCCTGTTTGCTTTTTTTATTTTTAAGGAGGAGACCATAAAAGATTCATCAGGTCAGGAAGATGAGACCCAGTCATCTAATGATGACCCAGCACCATCTGTTGCTTCTCAAGATCCACAGGAGATCATTCGCCCTCGTCGGTGTAAATATTTTGATACAAGTAAGTACAGTTCAGTGCTAAGCACCCTCCCCTCAGGGGGCTGACCTTTGGTTAAGAGCAGCTCTAGTTAACACCCTCTTCTGTTTCTGAAACATGCATGTTGATACCTATAAATGTTTGTCTGTTCTCTCCCTTGACACTGCTCTTGATTAGCCTTACGCTCAAAGGAATAGGAAATAAAAGCCCTGTGTTCACCTGAATGCTACATCTTCTCTGCAGATTGTGTAAGGACACTAGAAACTCTCTCTTGCAAAAATAAAGGATTGAATTTGTGGATAAATTTGAATGTCTGCAGTTTTGAAAAAGCAGGCTCTCAGCAGTGTAAAGAAATACTGTCCTGACACAGTGCAGCCCATGATCCTGCAAACTGGATGTGCCCTTCAAAAACCTGTCCTGTACATGGAGTCCAGGTGCAGTTAGTGGGGTGCTGCCTTCCCAGCATCATTTCAGCTGCCACTTCACACTAAGGGCATAATTACAAATATTTGCAAATAGGAAATTCACTGTTTTGACATGACAGGGCCCAGTGCCACTAGTTTGTGTATTCATTCAAAGAAGGTGAGAGTCCAACTCTAGGAAAAAGTAAAACCTGACATGACTAGAAGTAGAACCCCAGGTTTCTTCAAGATCACCAATACAGAAAACAGAAGCAGTCTGAAAAAGGCTGGTAGATTGTTAAACCTGAAATAATGAAGAGGGAGATAATGTGAAGAAACTGCTTCAGGAACTCCATTTGATGCTGCTGCCAGCATTGTGGACTGATTATTTCCTCTCATGTTTTGTTTAAAAATTGGTTTTGCATCCAGGTGGGAGCTTTGATGTGGTGTTGGGTACCTGTCCCTCTAGCCAGCTCTCATTTCTGTGGCAATCTTACTTCATGGGGTCTGAACCTTTCAGTACTGAGCTATCAGCAGGGCCATTGGGACAACTGATATTTTACCTTTCTGATGGAGGTGCCTGCCTCAAGTGTTTGAATTCCTCCTATTCTGTGTTTAACCAACAAAATTAAAGCAAAGGTTCTTCATGATACCCTGTACTTGTTACTTACAAACTATGACACTGTAGAAATGCCATTTTCTAATCTGTAGTTTATTTTGTTCCAAAAAATGCTAAGCAACCTCAGCATGTAGCTGTGCAGAGCATTGCAGGTTCCTTAAGAGATTTTAAACACAGCATTAGCATAATGCAAGTAGATTGCATTAGGGTTTTTTGTGTGTTCAGCTGTGGATGGAGTGTAATTTAATGTACAAATAATTTTAGTGCTGATACTGTCACATGCTGCACATAAACTGCAGCTGCCTCAGTTCATTGTGAAAGGCAACTGGCCTGTAGCATAAAGAGCTTAACATTTTTGTCAGTCCTTAGCCCAAATAATCTATTCTCAGTGCTGCTGTGCATCTCTGAGCAGTACACCCAAGCCTGCTAAATCCCAGGAAGGCTGAGAAAAGCACACTTGCAGGTTTCTTGTGCCCTGTGCTGTTGTCTGCCTGCAGTTCACTGGCAGCTGCTGCAAGGGAGCAGCAACAGCAGTACCTGAGCTGGGAGCTCATTGAAACTGGTGCTGAAACCCACACATGGATGCTGAACATCCTCATGAAAGCACTGTCAGAAGGCAACTCCTTGTAGTAAGTTGGGATGGGGTTCATCTCAGCTGCTCCCAAAGCCACTTTTAATTAAGTAGTAGTAAAATTGATGGATGTCTTCATCTGTGGTTTAACTTTCCAGAACTTGGTGTCTCTTCTGGTCCATTCTGAGTGTGAGCATTGGGTGGGTGAATTTTTGAAGTTGCCAGTACTGAACCCCTTAGTATTGTCCCCAAAAGTGCCACTTGCAGTGTGTGGTGTTAGCTGAGGTGGAGGTGAGGCACAGCTGGAGGCTGGTGGGACACAAAGGCAGGCTCATGTCCCCTGGCCACCCCTGCTCTGATGTTCCCAGGAGCTGGCTGCCACCTCCCAGGCCTGCTTGGCTGGAGCCTGGCCTTGGCATGCACAGGCCCCATCACAGCTCATTTTGGGTTAATGTTTGAACTGTTTCTTGTAGATAGTGAAATAGAAGAGGAATCTGAAGAAGATGAAGACTATATTCCCTCAGAAGACTGGAAAAAGGTATATGTTAAGTGCTGTCAAAAACTGCATTCAATGAATAATGATTTGATCTGTTACCTAGTAACTGAGCTCTATGGATCATCCAAATCCTCTCCAGTTTTTCCCCATAAATATGAGTTTTGATAGTAAGACATGTTAAAGACCTCCCCAAATAGTCAAAATCCCATTTCCATGTTAACTGTGTATTTACATTTTGAACAATGAAAGTTTTAAGGGGTCAAAAAAGATGCTGTTGTTTACTAACAAAACACATCACAGCTGTGGTTGTTTAACTTCTTGTTTCTGTTATTTCAAAACAGGAAATCATGGTGGGCTCTATGTTTCAAGCTGAAATTCCAGCTGGCACATGCAAATACAAAGAGAATGAAAAAGGTGAGACTTGACTCTGTTCCCACTATCCCACTGCTTGAGATTATTTTCTAATGGAGGGAAATAAATGGTTGGAGTGATGTTATGTGGCTTGCAAAAATCAAAGAACCCCTGCAAGTGAAAAACAGAGTCATATCTCAAACTGGAGTTCACCATCAGAGCTTGAGTCTTGGAAGGGGAAGTGGGAGATGGTATGGCTGGCCTGTGGTGTGTTGAACCCTGGCATTCCAGTTTGGGAATGTACACCAGCTGTCTCTGTGGCTCCTGCAAACATCTTCACCCCCTGTAGTTACAAAAACCAAAATGCATAATAAAGGAATTGTGTTGCTGGAATTGAGAGAGGCAAAATCACAGAATCCCACAGACTCACAGAATGGTGGGGATTGAGAGGGACTGCCCCCACAGTAAGGAAGCTGCTTCTTTCCTGTCCAGTCCTGGGAGCAAAAGCACAGAAGTGCTGGAGCTCTTGAGAAGAACCAGGTTGCTTTTCAAAGCAAGTTCTGATGCTGCTGTGAGGAAAGAGCCACCATGTGTTCTGCACTAAGACCACTAAGTGGCAGTGGACTGGCTCATGCCTGGAGACCAAATTAGATGCACCAAACAATTTCAGGTTATGAGACATGAACAGAATTGAAATATAAGTTTTCAGAAGGCTTGGACTTGAAAATCACTCCTGAGCAGGGCAGTGTGTGCAGCTGCCATCAGTGAGGGTAGCTTGGAACCAACCATCAGTTAGTTACCTTCTGAAAGGAATTGTTGCTTCTGCTGGAGGTTGTATCCTAAGACACCTGGAATCTTTCTCTTAAATGAGCAACCAATCCTCAGATTAGGACCAGCCTTTAGGCAAAAACATCTTCCAGAACATTTTTGAGAGCTGTGTTATACCTGAAATGGAGCTGTCTTGCTTTGCAAGTTGCTTAATATTTTCCCTGGCCACTCGTGGGTTTTAATTGGTACTCTACTTCCATGCTAAAAATACAGTTTATTCCAAGTGGAGCTGCACCCAGCTGCACCCTGACCTTTCCACCCACACAAGATGCTGCCCCATCTCCCCTTCCTCTGCTGACCACCTTTTCCCCAGTGTTTGCTCCTGCTTTCACCTCTTGAGAAGGAGTCAGAGGTGCCCACTGAGCTGCTGGAGTCAATGTTAGAGTTACAGTCTCACTGGTTTTTGTTCTCATTGAGAACTCAGGCACAAGCAAGGTCTGGGTACTTTCCTCAACCTGTTTTTTAATAATCTGAATCTCCTTTTATTTTTCTGTGCTGGTATTTTACTCCTGGAGGTTCTTCACAATAAAAATAAGAGAAGATTCAGAGGATATCTCTTTGGCCACATTTTTCCCATTAATTTCTGTTCATTATGGCTTCCCTGGTCTGAAAGCTCATGCAAAACCTCTGCAAAAACCAGTAGAGATTTGGTAATACTAAAATTCAGGAATTTTTATCTGAATGGGTTTGTTTCAGACAGTATTTCTTGAAAGCAGGAGGAAGGCCTTAGCAAAGTTTCTTTTCAGGAGCTGTTCTGACTTCAGAATGTCTGGCATCTGGGTGTCATCTTGCCTGGAGAGCTGGTGGACCTTGCTGCTGGCTTTTCCCAGCCATGTTAGCTGAGACTTTTATATCTAGTGGCCCAGACAACTCCTGCAGATTTTTGGACCTTTTCGGGGTGGGGGGGGAGTAGTTTTTTGGGTTAGTGTAACCAATCCAAATCGTCTTGCAAGAAAGCAGAGCAGTTGGTTTCTGAGCCAGTTTCCCCCTGCTGGCTGCTGTCAGCAGAGCTGTGCTGCACAGGGGGTGGTGCAGGAACTGTGCTGGTGTTTCTGCAACAGGAGATGGAAGGGGCAGTATCTGGAGCTTCATAAACAGGTCCTAGAATCTAGAGCACTGAGTGCCAGAGATTTGAGTCATTGAATCCCAGATTGGTTGGGGAGGGATCTAAAGACCATCCACTCCCACCCCCTGCATGGGCAGGGACACTTCCCACTAGACCAGGTTGCTCAGAGCCCCATCCAACCAAAGTCTTGGACACTTCCAGGGATGGGGCAGCCACAGCTTCTCAGAGGGTGTCTCCCCACCCCCAGACCTGGCTGTGAAGCCAACATAAGGCACCCTCTCCTGGACATCCAGATCACTGCACTTGTGGGGGTTTCTTTTACCTCTCCTAAACGTGCCCATGATCACTAGTTTTATAAGAAGGAATACATTTCTCCATTGTTGTGTTGTTTTTTTTCCCTGGGGTCAATTCAGTGTATGAAAATGATGACCAGCTGCTGTGGAATCCTGACTTCTTACCAGAAGACAAAGTGATTGAGTTCCTGAGCGAAGCATCAAGGCGTACGGGGGATGAGAAAGGCTTGGATGCCATTCCTGAAGGATCCCACATTAAAGACAATGAGCAGGTATGTAAGAATAATGAGGATTTGTAGTTTAGTATTACAGAGTGAATTATCCCTCGATTTCATTTTGCTTCCAAGAATTAAAACTGAAACAACTTTATTATTCCTCTTGGAAACATAAATATGATGTATTTTGACCTCTCAATAAATATTAATCTGTTAATTTAGGCTTAATGTTGCCTTATGCAGCAGTGCATTATTTTATACATTAATAATTGTGTATGAATGAGTTTTGTTCCTTCAGGTGTTTTTAAAGCTGTATAAATGCAGATTTATTTCTTTTCTTCACACAAAAAACCCCACTCCATCCATTTTACAAAGATGTGCAGTTGGGTGAAAATGTTAAAATACTTTACCTGGGTAAATAATTGGTTATGTAATTGGAGATTTGAAAATGTTAAAAGGAAATATTTCTTAGTGCTGTCTTAAATGACACTACATTCATTGAAAGAGTTTATTTGTAACCTTTTCTGAATAGATATGAGTGATTTGCTAAGTCTGCTTCTGTGGCACAACCTGAGCAGGGGGGTGTCCAGCTATTACCTGTGTATCTTTCCACCCTTGCAGGCCTTGTATGAACTGGTTAAGTGCAATTTTGATACTGAAGAGTCATTGAGAAGGTTGAGATTTAATGTGAAAGCAGCCAGAGGTGAGCACGTGCTGAGAGGTCAGGGTGTGTGGCTGAGCTCTGCTGTCAGTGTTACCCAGGGGCTGGGGTTTGCTGTCAGGCTGCAGGTACCTGACACAGCAGCGCCTGTTTAAATCAGACTTCTCTGAGTCTCTTGTTCTTTGAGAGACTGAAAGCCCAGAAACCACCTGTGTCCTGGGCTCTGCATCAACAGCAGCATGGCCAGCAGGGCCAGGGAGGGGATTGTGCCCCTTTACTCAACTGTTGTGAGACCCCGTGTGGAGAACTGTGTCCAGTTCTGGAGCCCCCAACATGAGAAGGGCATGGAGCTCCTGGAGAGAGTCCAGAGGAGGCCACAGAGAGGATCCATGGACTGGTTCCCAGCTCTGGAGACAGGCTGAGAGAGTTGGGGTGTTCAGTCTGGAGCAATGAAGACTCCAGGGAGACCTTAGAGCACCTTCCAGTGCCTGAAGGGGCTCCAGGAAAGCTGGGGAGAGACTTATGAAAGAGGAAAGAAGCGATGGGAAGAGGGGAATTGTTTTCGATCTGAAAGAGAGGAGATGGAGATGAGATCTGAGGAAGAAATTCTGTGCTGTGAGGGTGGTGAGACCCTGGCCCAGATTGCCCAGAGAAGCTGTGGCTGCCCCATCCCTGGCAGTGTTGAAGGGCAGGTTGGATGGGGCTTGGAGCAGCCTGGGCTGGTGGGAGGTGTCCCTGCCTATGCAGGGGGTTGGAACTAGATGGTCTTCAAGGTCCCTCCAACCCAAAGCAGCCTGGGATTCTGGGATTCTATGAAATTCCCTGCAGTATGACACAGTACAAAGAGGGGTTTGGTATCTAGATCTGTGACTTTAATAACAAGTTCAGATTTAAAATTACTTATTAGCTACTCAGGTGTCTTTTTTCTTGTGCACTTATTCTTTGTTCTTCCAGACCTTTTCAGTCATCGAAGTCAATGGAACCAACATGAAATACAAACCTAAATAATTCACAATTCTAAATAAAGGAGAATGAGCATCTAAACCTTTTATTTTAAAAATGCCCTTGTCTTAAAGATGCTTTTGGAGCCCCAAGCATTTCCTGGTTTGCTATTGATCTTTATACTCCAAGGAACAAGAAACTAAAAGGAGACACAAGTTATTTTCCTTGCACACTGATCTGTTGGTTCTGCTTTCAAACCTGTGGCTTCTCCAGACTTTACTGTGCAAATCACAAGACAGGAATGATCAAATAGAGGAGATTAGTTTGTTCTCCCACTATGTTAAACCTTATTTATTCATGACCTTAAGAATCAATAAGGCCAGATTACATTAAGTTCTTAGCAGTGTGGCTGAGAGTTACTAGGGGTTTGTTCTGGCTTCTGTTTTCCTACCCCATGGTGTGAGGAGCAGTTTCTCATTCTGCCTAACTGGAGGTAACAGCCTCTTATTGCTGGCTTTTGCCTGCAGTGAAGGAGATCTCATTCTTCATCCCTTTCCTCCTGATTCTTCCAAACTCCAGCAACCAGTTTGAGTCATAGAATCCTAGAATGCCAAGGTTGGAAGGGGCCTCAAGGATCATCTGGTCCAACCTCTCTAGCTACTGCTATACTTGATAGGAGGTGGCTCAGCACCCTGTCCAGCTGAGACTTAACACTGTCCAATGTGGGGGAATCCACCACTTCCCTTAGGAGACTATTCCAGTGTTTGTCTCTATGGTGAAAAATTTACCTCTTGTGCCCATGACCCCATGTCTTTTCCATGGGACTCCTTGTAAATAGGGGGTCTCTGTCTTCTTGGTAGCCACCCTTTGAGTACTGGAACATGGTGATAAGGTCTCCCCTGAGCTTTCTTTTCTCAAGGCTCAACAAGCCCAGCTCTCTCAGCCTCTCCTCATAGCATGAACTCCTTCATGCTGTGTCCTGGCTTGAAGGATTCCTGCTTTCTGCAGTTCCAGGGGTACAATGATGAGACCAGGTTTCCAAGTCCTCCCCTTTCTGCCCCTCATTCTTTCCTCCACACAGCAGGGCTGGAGTTGCTGACCACTTATACCCAGGAGCTATTTAAAGCAGCCAAATTTCCCACCCCCTCACTAGAAGGGAGAATTTTCATCTTTGTCCTAGGAAGTGAAGTTTCTGGAGGTGGTTCTCATTTAGGCAGCAGATGGTGTAAGAAATTTGAATACTCTGTGTTTTCTGTCACTGAAGTTTGATTTTATTGGCTGTATGCTTTTTTGTTAAGTGTTTTCTTTGTTGCATTTCCCTGCTCTAGAAGAATTATCTGTTTGGACAGAAGAAGAGTGTAGGAACTTTGAACAAGGACTGAAGGTCTATGGCAAGGATTTTCATGTGATTCAGGCAAATAAGGTAAACACAGATTTGAAGTCTAGTTCTCTCATATTTCTCAAAGCAACGTAATTGTAATTCTGATCCTCCTTTCCCTTCACAAATTAGCACTTGACTTCTGATTTTTACTACATCATTCTCCAAATTAGTTTGTCAAAGCCCAGAATCTTCTCTAACTTGGACTGTGAAACTTTGCATTTCAATTTCTGAGCCTCTGAAATGTTGAGTTCCCACCATTTCTTAACCTTACACAAAGCAGCACCGACTTCGATTTGCACAGCTTTTGATTTAAATGGCAGCTTTTTTTTCTTCTTTTTTTTTTTTTTTTTGGTGCCCAAAATGCATTTCAATTGATCCAGGTTCTCATGGCACATGTCTCCTAGGTACGAACAAGATCAGTTGGTGAGTGTGTAGCATTTTATTACATGTGGAAGAAATCGGAGCGTTACGATTTCTTTGCCCAGCAGACCCGCTTTGGGAAGAAGAAATACAACCTCCATCCTGGTGTCACGTAAGATGTGCATTGTTTTCATGGGCTTTTACATCTTGGAGCTAAACCTGGTGTTTGATAGTGCTCTTATCTGGAATGGTGTGACAACAGGAGGGACTCCGTGGTCCCTGTTGGCAGCAAGGGGACAGCCGAGGTGTAAGACAAGCTTACTAGTGCATATCCTGGGATTTCCAAAGTACCTGGATTTGGAAGCAGGCCAACCCTTTGCACAGCTATTTCATTGAGTTTGTTTTCTGGTGGAATGTTTCACAAATGTCACGTTTCTGCAGATAGGTGGAATTTTTTTAGTGCTTGTTTTTTGCTTTAAATGCTTGTTTCGTAGAAGGGCACAAGTCTCTGGGGGGGATTTGTGGTACGTGCTGTAACAGGCTCTTGAAGTGTATTGTTTGGCAAGAATTCTGGCCAAAGCAGTAGCCCATCCTAGGGATTTTTGGGGTGTGAGCATCTCCTTTCCCCACTCAGTGCTCTGCCTGGCAGGGTGGCTGTGCCTGGCTGGATGTTTTCCTCCCTCAGGTCCAAGCAAGTGAGCCAACATTTTCTTCTGTCCTTCATTCCAGTGCTGTGATTTTAGGATCCTGCTGACATTCCCCAAGTCTTTTCACTGTTATTTTTCCATCTCACTTGTTCCTGGCTTCTCTCTTGATGCTTCTATTTAATATTATTGTTTCTTTAAGCATTTTAGAACTGTGTGTTGGACCACTGGAATGAACTTGCAGTATGACATTAAGAGTTGCCATCTGTGCCCTTCTCAATAGGCTGTTAGAGAGAAGCACCCAGAGCTGCTGGGTTTCCTTAACCAGTGGTCAGGAGCTCTCTGTGTCCCCCTCTGCTTCCATCTGGGTGGGGTTTTCCCCCCATTTTTGGTTGTTAATTCCTGAAAACATTCTGTGATTCCTTTGCCTGTGGTGATCAGACGTGTAAGTAAGGACCAGACTTGTCTACTCCAGGGTGCTTGTGCAGATGGCAGTGGGGACTGAGGGTACAGTCTCAGTTCCACAACAACTGTGTGTGAGGTTGTGCTGTTTCTGGAGTTAATCCAGACTAATCCCACACATACAAGGGCTTTACCAGCCAGCTTGGTTTGCTTAAATCTCTCAGAAGAGATTTACTAGTAGTGACCTAAATTGTAGGACTGTAGTAAGAGTTCAGATGTGGAAATGTCTTACCTTGAGCTCTGAAGGTTTTCATTTGCTTTTAACTTTACCCCTGCTGAGGCTGTTAAGTGCACGAAGCTTCCTTGATGGTGTCCTTGATGGTGTCCCTGCCACAGCAGCTCACACGGGCTCAGTAGCATCCCCTTAAGTTCCTGCCCGTGTGAGATCCCACAGGATGTGGCACAAGCAGGGGCTGGATTCCTGGAAGCTGGCTGCAGTGCTTGGTCAAGAAACAGGTGGTGGAAACCATATGGATGGTGGAAACCAAACGTGGGCCAGTTAGTGCAGGAGGTGTTGGAGCCGCTGGCTGTGCCGTGCGGATGGGTCGCGGGGAGGATTCCTGTCCCAGCCAGGCTTGGCACAGCCAGGGCAATGCTGAGGGTGCCACTTCTGCCCTGCAGAGATTATATGGACCGTCTCCTGGATGAAAGTGAAAGTGCTGCCTCCAGCAGAGCTCCGTCCCCTCCTCCTACAGCCTCCAACAGCAGCACCAGCCAGTCGGAGCGGGAGGACAGCACAGCCAGCAGCAGCAACCAGAATGGTGAGTGTGTGCTCTGTCCCTCCTCAGGGCAGCTGCCAGATCCTCACAGTGAGGAGCCCAGCTTGCCTCTCCACATACATTTCATTTTAGTTGGAACACTTCTCCAGGGTGTTCACAGCTCTATGTTAAAAATGGCTTTTGCAAAAGCTACATTTGTGTTTATCTGGTGGTCACATATTGGAGGGAAATCTCCAGATAGCTCCATGTGTCCCTGTCTTCTCCATGCTAGTGCAGTGTCATGCTAGCTTTGTTAGGAGTCCCATGCAGGGTATTTAAAGCAACTGAGATGGGAACTGGGCTGATGTCCAGCACGAGTTGTACTCTGGTGGTTGGCCCTGGAGCACTGGTAGCTGAGCAGACATGGGCACTGAAGGGCAGTTAGGAAGGGGAGAAGAGCCAGGGCACCATCACTCCTGGAGGAAAAAAACCTCAAAAGCAAGTTACAGCCATTCTCAAGGAGCTGAAGGGAAGCTGTAGCAAGAGCAAGAAGGAACTTGGGGTTGTGAGAATGGAGTGGAAGCTACAGGATCTCCCCAGGTGAGGACAGTCCACCTGCAGCTTGTACAGTTATGGGACTCCAGGACATTTCTTGGCAGCTGTTGCTTGTCAGAGCTTCCACAAACCCCCTTGTGATATGTCTGTCACTTGTATGCAAATCAATGGCCCAGTCCTCCCAGTGAGGGTGTGGAGAACAATATTGGCTTTTTAGTTCAGTGGCTCTAATCAGACTTCTGCTTTTTTTGAGCTATCACAGATGGTTCCCTTAGTGCTTATGCTTCTCTTTCTTATGGTCTGTCTCTAGGGGTGTCTGCCAATGGGCCAGGTGAGATACCAAATAAAGATGAAGCAAAAATTGAAGGCTTGCATGTAAATGGACCTTCCAGTGGCAAGAAAACACCTCACACAGATCTGGATACAAATGGGTATGAGACTGAAAACCTTGCCAGTGACCCAAAATTTGCTCATTCAGCTTCAAGAAATGAAAATGATTTTGAAGAAAAAAATGAAAGACCTCTAAAAAGAAGAAGAATAAACAGCAATGGGAAAGAGAGTCCAGGTTCTTCAGAGTTCTTCCAAGAAGCAAACTCACATGGAAAGCTTGAGGAACTAGAAACTTTGGATGACTGAATACTAGGAGCCAGTTTTATTCCTTGGAGTAAATTTTGGGTGTCTGAAATTTTCAGGGTTGATGGGTTACCTTACAAAATCCAGTTCTGTAAAACAGTCTGCTGAGGGTTTGTTTTTTTTCCCCTAATACCTTCCAGTTGGCTCTTTGTTTCAGTGCTGAAAAGCAGTAGGAGAATATTGTGTTTCTCAGAGCTGGCAACTGTAGTTCTGGGAACTCTTTTTAAGGCTCTTAAAAATATTTCAGAAACAAATCAGTGAGTTTCTGCAAAAAAAACCACTCCCAGCCTAAGACATGAAAGAAACTTGTGTGTGTTTAATGCACCATTTAAGCATTGTACAAGTGAACAAAGCATCCTATTTGAGGCAGGGGCTGGTTCAAGTGTTGCAGGAGGATAAAATGAAATCCAGAATCCCAAGCCCTGCATGGGAGTAGGCACAGAAAGTTCCACCCATGAGAAAAGTGTCATCCCCTTGTTAAGGAACCCTTATGAATCCTGAAAGTTATGAGCACAACTATTTTTATATATAGAAGTTTTAAAAGGTAAATAAACCAGGTCAGGTTTGTATATGTAAAATTGTTGACATCAATGATGTCTTTCCATATTCTTTATCTGGGCTAAAGAAATACATTCTGTATTTTTCCAGATTTCTTTGTAGCCTTTGAAAGATTTTTTACAGTACTTACGTCTTGATTGAACTGTCCTTTCTTAAAACAAAAGCTTGTATAATTTTCTTAACTTGTACAGTTGGTAAACTTTTATGAGAGAATTGATATCCTGAGTCTAATGTCAGCTTCATTTTATTTTGCTGAATCTTTTCTAAAAAAAAAAAAAAGCCAAACAAAACCAAAACAGACAACAAAAAATGCAACCCCCAAACCAAACCAATTGACTAAAAAAAAGAGAAAAAGCTTTTTAGTCACCCACATGTTATGTTCTCCTCTGAAAACAACATCAAGGCTGGTTAGGAAAGCAATTTGATTTTTGAAAACATAATTATTTTTTTTGTTGTTTGATGGCAAATAGTGATGCTAAAAAAAATGCTGACGTTGCACAGATTTCCTTGCTTCCACCGTGCATTTTTCTGCTGTTATTTTCAGCTCAGATGAAGTCCCCAGCAGCCAAATGCATCTGTTTACTAACCCTTCTTCACCAAGATCAGGTGTCTGAGTATCCACAGGTTTTATTTTGAGGCTCTCTCTGCCACCTTCCACATTTCAGGAAGGGCAGGAATGGGTCAAGTGCTGCTGGCTGGGCAGGACGTGCCCGAGCTGGGATTGCTGACAGCCAGGGCACCTCGCGTGGCTGGGGATTGCAGTGGGAGCAGGAAAGCACAGGCACAGAAGTACCTGCAGCACAGAGTCACATGGGGATGTGGTGAGAGTGGGTAAGGGTAAATATTTTGGGCTTAAAGTGCAAGAAAGGAGGATTGTGTCTTAAGGGCTGCTGCTCACCGTTCCACCCGTGAGAGCTGGCAGGTGTGGATGGAGGCTTTACATCCACTCTGGTACCAGTGTTTTGGTTTCTTTCATTATTAGTATTTTTTAAGCCACAGCTAGGCACCTGAAAATAGGAAAAATTGTTCATTTGTATAATTTATCCCCACATTTCCTCCTCCTGAGGCTTGCAGGGGCACTGGTGATTTTGAATGGGTTATTTTCACTTGCAGTTCACGGTTTGAAATGTCTGGTTCTGTGCGTGGAAACTGATGTATCAACTTGAAAAGAAAACAACCAACAGCCCAACTGTTAAGGGTTCCATTTGTTTTGTTTCCTTCCTCAACTGCCTGTACTTGAACTTTCTGGTCATTAATGAGCCCAGGCCTCTGGCTCCATCACCACACTGAGCTCCTGGGGTGTTCTCACCTGCTGTGCCCAGATTGGTGGGACTGATCTGCTCTGACTGCTTCAGCTGACCTGCAGAGAGGCACATCAGGAAGGTTGTTAACAGCTGGCCTGCATTCTTTCATTCATTAAGCAGTGAGACCCTGGCCCAGGTTGCCCAGGGAAGCTGTGTCTGCCCCATCCCTGGCAGTGTTGAAGGGCAGGTTGGATGGGGCTTGGAGCAGCCTGGGCTGGTGGGAGGTGTCCCTGCCCATGCAGGGGGTTGGAACTGGATGAGCTTTGAGGTCCCTTCCAACCCCAACCATTCCATGAGTCTATGATTAAGTAATTAAAAGGTTGTTGTTGCCTTCACACTCTGGTGACCAGAACCCCAAAGCATCAGAGCCTTGGAGCAAAGATGGTTTGGCTCAAAGAAGGTTCAGCCCGAGGGCAGGGCTGTGCTTCCACCAGACTTTGCAACCAGAGTCCTATTTTCAATTAATACTTTTATGCTTTTTTTGTTCGTTTGTTTCTTTGTTTGCAAGTTGGAAATAACTTCCAAAAAATTTAGAGGAAACTTAGTAAGTCAATTGTCTCAGGCTTGTGTGTGAAATGCAGCACTGTGTGTATTTTCAGGAATGTTGCTTTGGTTTGTTCTTTTTTTTAACCTTACCCTTTTTTTGTTTTAGGTGATATGTAGAGATCTGACATTCCATAACCAACAACTATGTAATAATGCTCAGCTAGAATATTTAATTATCATTTACGTTTTGTTTATGCTGGTGTTTTATACAATACTTTGTTCATGTTCTTCAAAATGCAGCCACTATAACGTGATAAGTCATTGCACTACTAAAGCTATTTAAAATTCTAGAAATAAGAGTTAACTTTGATTTCATTTTAAAAAAACCCCAACAACAACCACCAAACAAAAAACTTACAGTTTGGGGGCCCAGAAATGCTTCCAAAACCACGTGGAAAAAGATCACAACTTGCACGTGACACTTGGGGATGTTTTTCAAGCACTATGATGATGGGTTCAGCTGGACACCACTAGAAATCCTTGCTGGGCTTTCAAGGGGTTAAATGTGATATTAAAAAGGAAAAGAACACCAAAAAAAACCCAAACCAACTACACCCACACAGAGAAATGACAAGTTAAGTTTGATACTTTTCCACCCATGGGCATTTTGCACCGTTAGTGATTCCCTTCTATCCCTGCTCCTCAACTGCAACTCTGAAAAAGCTTATTAAAATGTGGGGGTTTTTAAAACTTACTGCTTGCATCCAGAACTCCTGAGAGCTGTTTTTCTCTCCAACAGCTGCTGGAGGAGCCCTGCTCCCTGAGGACACCAACACCCCCTCTAGCAGCCCCTGCTGTGGGGAAACCTGCAGGCACACACATCTCCTTTCCTGAGGAGAGTTTTAAGACTTTCTTCTTTCATTCCCCTAAACCAGGTGGCTTCCCAAGGGCTTTCCCAGAGCTGGACATGACTTGGGGCAGCTGGGGAGGGGGTCAAGGCAGGGTCCTGGGGAGGGGTAGAGAGACCAGAGCTCAGTGCTGCCACTTGAAGATGGAGCTTTGTTCACCGGGAACATTAAGCACCCCCTGGGGAGGGGAGAAGGGACCAAGGTGAGCAAAGCATCAGGGCTTTTTTCCCCCTTACATTTCAACCCCCCAGATTAACTCCTTGTCCCATTCTCAATCTTTTAAGCTGAAAACCCAAGAACCACCCCCCTCCCCACGACCCAGAGGACACTTCCCCACCCAGGTCCAGCTGCACCCTCAGCTCCTCCATCACCACCAGCCTTTGCTGCTGCTCCCGGGCAGTGAGGGCAGAGGCAGGAGGAGGAGGGAAGGGCACTGGTTTATTTGAAGCTAGTACAAAAATACAAAGGCACATGAAATCCTTTTTCTGTTGTTTTGTGTTTTTTTTTTTGCTCTCATCACTGACATACAAAGCTGGCCACACATTGGCATCAAAAGATCACCCTTTTAATCACTAAAATGGTCACTTTTTAAATTTTTTTTTTGTAAATAGATTCTCTATAGAAAAATTTTGTCACTGAATAGCATAGAAAATCCTGTGGTAGGAACTCTGGTCACTTTCCCAGTGCATACAACAGCACCCAGCCCCTGCCCTCAAGTGTTGCAGAGTTACCAACAAAATAAGCTTTTACAAACATTTTTAGGCTTGGACAATAAATCTAACCAGTAGATTCAAAGCAATTAAACAAACAAACAATCACAACGTTGGGCAGGAAGGACAAACCCTGACTGCCAGCCCTGGCACAGCAATGGGACAAGGAAATGTGGCAAAGAAAAAGAGACTTGCAAATGTTTGTGTTGCAGCAAGTGAGAGGAAGGCAGGGGGTCGGTGTGGTGGGACCCCAGAGGGAGCCCAGGACAGGGTCTGCCAGCCCCAGCACCTCCTACTTACTGGGAACCAGTGCCAGGACCAGTAACCCTGCCTGGAGCCAGGCTGGGAGCAGCAGGAACCACTTCTCATCTTTC